TGTCATATGTCACCATTATTGTAGAAACTCATTTGTGGGTGGGCCAAAGAAAAAGTAAGTGGGCACAATAAATGTAACTGAAAACAAGTATATTTTTGCGCGCGTGTCCTCCGCATGTGCCCTAGCTTCATAATAACAATGTGCCGAGCTTCAGCGCTCTGGCCTGCGCACGCCGATATGTTCCGTATTTGATCATTTTTAACGGTGATGGAGAAATCTGAAGGTGGTGAGTCATTCTGGCAGATTGTAATTAACACCTGTCTCATGCAGGTGTTCTGACGTTGTAAACCTCACACACAGAACATTGTGGATGTAACAAAATAACAAGAAATGATTCCCATTCAGGCTATTGACAGCATGCTGAAGATCTGAAGCTCAGAGTGCGTCTGTCAGAGGTCAGACGCGTTCCAGCGGAACCACGGCTCACGGGTGCACATGTGAGCACATCTGGGCTGGTCAGAAGTAATTTTACAACGTTGGTTTAAATAGCGCCAATAATGAGACGCGGTGACATGGTCGGGACATAGAAGGGGGTGCGCGGCTAAATACGTTTGGGAACCACTGGTATAAACAAACAACTCTCTAGTTTATCGCTAACCAACAAATTCTTTTACAACCCAGACTTCACAAATTCTCTCAGATACGAAGAATGGTTTTACTGAACATCTAGCTTCCATCTTTGGTATGTTCTTACTGTGTCTAGTTTCTAATTCCATTTTTTTGGTTCTTTTTTAAAACACAGGAAAGGTTTCTCTTTACCTTGCTGACAGTTTTGTTTGCCGACTGCAAAACATCCTCCAAGGATTCAGATAAGAACTTGTTTTGGGGACAGACAGAGATAATTTCCTCTCTATCTTAAAGTTCTGTTGGTCTCCAACCCCTCTGAATCCAATAATGCTGTAAATTAATCTATTCCGCACCGTGCTGTCCCGTCAACTCGCCCCTTGATCGAATCAACCTTCTGTGCCAGAGCCTGAATCTCAGCCAAAGTTCCAAGCTTACGACTCATCTCGACAATTATATGAGTTTGTGCGTTCACAGCGCGGTGTAATCCATCCCTGAGCTCCGGGATTGAGCCAATATTCCTCGACAGCTCGTTAATTTTCCGGTAAGCCAGGTAACCGCTCAGGCCAAACAGCAGGAATCCCGACACCAACACCACGAATATCCAGACGTCTTCAGAATCCTCTACAGACAGTTGAGAGAGGCAGATCAGGTTCCACTGTTTCCAGGAGTCCATGATATACCCAGCTGGCTCTGTTCCAGAGCGGCAACCGGGAGCCCCTTCTCCCGTTCTCATCGTTGAAAAAATCTTGTCAATCGCGTTGAGACCAACTGACCATGTTTAATATTTTCCAGTTTCCAGAAATAATGCAAAAGCTCCGTACGCCCAGAGACAGACAAAGAGCCTTGGGATAAGATAGGGAGGAGAGGAGGAAAAAGGCGTCTGTACTCTCCAAGAGCCAGAAGAAGAAACTGGTACGTCGTAGCTCATCCCCACCAGTGTGTGAATGTGTATCTGAATGGGTGAATAACTGACAGTTTGTGAAGCACCTTGGGGGGGAGGTGTTAGAACACTAAGAAGGTGATATTAAAAAACAGGCCATTTACCTTTTACCATGTCAGCATCTAACTGACTTTACAACCAGATTCTCCATTTCCAAAACAGTCTTTCTCCAGGTCCAAAGTTTGCTTAAAGTTGCCACATTTATCTGAGGTTTTTCTTTATAAATTTCACAGTTTGAGTGGAAAATCACTGACATAGATTTCAGACCATGTTATGTGCATAACCAGTCTTCTAAATGTGGCCCCAGAACATTTGCTGGTACCATTGTAGAGGGAGGGAGGAAGAGATTAACCTCTGCTGGGGTCTCTCTCTCTCTCTCTCTCTCTCTCTCTCTCTCTCTCTCTCTCTCTCTCTCTCTCTCTCTCTCTCTCTCTCTCTCTCTCTCTCTCTCTCTCTCTCTCTCTCTCTCTCTCTCTCTCTCTCTCTCTCTCTCTCTCTCTCTCTCAACTGGTCTGAAGTCAGCAGCAGTCGCTGCCAGTGTCTGGACACTGTAATCGGGGAACGTAGCAGCTGAACCTGGTGGATTTGTACCCTCGTTTTTGTAGGATTCTGTGTTTTGCCTACTTGTGGAGCCCAGAAGCAGCGAGTTTCTTTCATTTTCTTCCTGGTGGAACACTTGTCCATTGTTTGCAAGAGTTTTGTTACTCCTGCTCAGAGAATGCTTTAGTCTTTGTTTTTTTCCTGAAATGACGTGCTGCTTGGGAAATTGGTCCAACTGAGGAGTCGCAAAATTTTAATGTTTAAACATTTAATGGACATTTTCTTCCACAAATTTCTTTGAGGAAGACGCTGATATTTTAGCCATGTTTCTGTTATTGCTTCTGTTGTTAAAGATCTGCATGCAAGCTTCAGCCCAGGAACAGGTAACGCACCTCCATCAGTCTCAACCCTCCCTAAAGTGGTTGTTGTGCTTGTTTAATATGATCTCAAACATGTAATCTTATAAACAATTGAATGAATCATGTTTAGGCAGCAAATATAAGAGCCTACTAAACAAAACTAATGGTAAGGCAGGTTGAAACCATAGTTGTGAAGAAAATCAACATACTTCTGACATATCTATGTGCCGGACTGCTAAATAGGCCAGGCGACAGGCTTCCAGGGCCAGGCACAAGATATTAGATGTGAACCTCCCCACTTACATGCGCGCGCGCACACACACACACACACACACACACACACACACACACACACACACACACAAGCATTTCCTCTTTTTTCTTTGCTCATCCTCTTATTTCTCTGCAGCAAAGGACTGACAGGAAGTCTGAGTTTGCTACTCCTTTCCTCTGAAAACCATGATCCCTTATCACGTTCCATTTCTCTCTCTAGCCGTACTCTCCAATAAGACCGAGGGGTCCACCGTGACTGTCTTTCTCTGTCTTACCAAAAGCCTGACTGTCCCTGCATTGCCCCCGCATGGCTTCTGATGATTTTCATGCAAGCTAATTAGCATTACAGTTTTTCTCAATTTTTTTACACACACTTTCTGAAAGCATGCCTCGTATTCTCCGAACTCTACACACAAATCCAAAAAACACACACAATGGGCAAAACCCCTCAATTAACCTGCTAAATGAAACTTCACATTCAAAACATGTTATTTCTCCTCACAATGTGATTTTGTTGTCAAATGACACACAAACCATCATACGAATAGACATTCATAAGAACCAGCAGAACACTTATGTGCTCAGTGTTAAACATTATGATGAATGGAAAAGACTTCTTCTCCATTCATCATAATGACTTAAGCATTTTTGGTTCAGTGTTACACCTACTATACTACAGACAGTAAATACATGCATGTGTTGTAAAATATTTCAGAATATTGTTTTTACACTCTGAACACACAAATACATGGTTAATTTTTTTTATTTTTCCCACAAAACATTGTACACAATGTTTATCCCATTCCCAACCAACACAAAGTTGCACACATACACTACATACAACAGAAGAATTTACTGTATACAGTTACAGTAAAAAAAAAACTATGCTGCATCCTCTCTTCTGTTGCGGTCTGGCCACAGCGCCTCATCCACATCACAAGCAATGTTGTCCCTGGCCAAGCAGCGGGGGAAATATCTTCTAGGCGATTCCAGCCATGAATAGAATCAGGTATTATACCTCCATATGCATTCTCCATAGCTTGGAGAAGAGGTATACACGTTTGTGGCTGTCGGTCATACACCTTCCATCTCCAGGCAGAAAAAAATTCCTCAATGGGGTGGAGGAAAGGGGAATATGGAGGGAGATCAACATCTAAAAAGCGTGGATGGCCATTGAACCAGTTATGAACCACAGCAGTCTGTGGAAACTGACGTTGTCCCAAATGACAACGTACCTGGGCTGTTCTGGGCCATCTACCTGATCTGGTGGAATGAGTGTGTTGTGTAGGGTGTCCAGGAATGTGATCAGATGAGCGGAGTTGTAGGGGTAGGTAGCATGGTGATGGATGATGCCATGGTAGCTAAGCGCTGCACACATTGTGATGTTCCCTTACTCTCACGCCTCTGCCTCTGTTTCCAATGTTGGCATCCATTGGTCCATAACAGAAGAGCTCACCTGTTGTCCTTTTCTGCTAAAGCTCTGATTGCTGATTGTAAAACTGTCATGGGTCTTTGTCCTTGTGATGAGTCAGTGGGCAAATTTGAATAGCAGTGTGTTCCTTGTGAAAACAAGATATTTTCTGCGTGAAAATTGTGCCAACAGCAGAGAATTGTGTGTAGTGTTTTGAAAAAAGTGTGTTTTAGATTTGCAGTTTGAGTTCAAAGCAGGAATTGTGCTTGTAGCTTAGTAGAATTGGTTAAGGGGGTTGGTGAATTGGTTACATGTTTTGGTCATTGTGTCTCAAGTACCAGAAAATGTGTGTAAACACTTGAGAAAAACTGTAATATAACCAGCTAGCTTACTTTAAAAGGCTGATAAATGCTGGTGGAGCTGTTTTTCCTGCTCTACGATGACTTTACCGGTTCCAGCTTTACAATCACCCAAATTTTATAACAATTTGCTATTAAAAAATTACATGTATTTATATAGAAAATCTCTACAACCTTACTTTCCTTCTCTTTATTATTTTTATTTTTTTTGCATAGCAGATTTATGGGAGCTATTTGATGGTTTAACCCCCAATCCAACCATTTTAAACTAAGTGTCAAGCAGGAAGGCATTGACTCCACTTTTTGAGGTCTTTGGTGACCCGACTGGGTATTTGAACCCTGATATCCTAGTCACAGGGCAGCCACTCTACCACTAGGCCACTGAGCAGGTATACTCTGCTAACTCCTAACATGAGCCAATTCCTACGATCAGCCGACTCCTAGCATCAGCTATCACATAGCATCACAAATAAAGATGAAAGATGAGATGAGGCATTTTGTCATTCAGTTTAAAGTTTTAGGTTTGGACTTAGAGCTTTTGTGTCCCTCAGACTGCTGCTTCTGGACGCTGTGATATCCCTCAGAGGGTGGACATCAACACAGACTGTACATCCTGTGCCGCCGTCCTTACAGCCAGCTGTCCTCATGGTTTTACTAAAGTGGGCTCCACCAACTGCAGGTAGGAAAAAATTAAATCACAACTCCGCCTACAATAATCAAGCCACACCCACCTGTGATGCCCACCTGATCACACCCATCGATTCACATTAAATATATACAACCCCACCCCAAACAGGCAAACAAATACACACACACACACACACACACACACACACACACACACACACACACACACACACACACACACACACACACACACACACACACACACACCTTTGTGACAATGATTGTAACAGAAACGGCACTTGTGATTGGCAAGAGGAGCTTATTAGAGCTGATTGGGTGTTCTGAGGTCGACTTGGAGATATGTCAGTCCTGTTTCTTGTCTCCTCTGTAGCTACGTGGTGCAAATTGGCAACAGGGAGGTTGAGCTGCAGGGGTGTCAGCATGTCTGTGTGAAGACTGTCCTTCATCATCAATGCTGCGTGGGACACTGGGGTCCTTTGTGTCTCCGTAAGTCCTCCAGGTCTTCTCTGTCACTCAGTTCTGACCAACAGTTCATAAAGTGTTCCATTAACCCTTTTGCTGCTGCCATTGTTCATGTCCGCCTGGTCTTTATCTTTTAATAAAATCTGTCAAATAAAAGTCCTATCTGCACAACACTTTTACCTTATTTTCAGGACAAGCTTAGCTTTCGATATCTATAAAAATGTTGCAGTTATTGTGGTTTAAATTACCCCAAACAGTATTTAATAACTTTTAAAGAAATTTATGAATAGAAAATGTAGATGTACATGAATCAAAAATCTGATATAGCATAAATAAACCCAACATGTATCACAACCTTGATTTTTGTGCAACTTTTAGTGTCTTAGTTTAAGATGATATTGTCTGTCAATGTTAAGGTGTTCAATTCAATTCAAAAATACTTTATTAATCCCAGAGGGAAATTGATTACTGTAGTAGCTCAGAATTATAATAATAATAATCAAGTCATCAAAGAGATATAGTATATTACAATGGCTGTTGGCAGGAAGGATCTCCAGTAGCGGTCAGTGTTGCAGCCAGACTGAAGAAGCCTCTGACTGAAGACACTCTTCCGTTGTCGGACAGTCTTGTGAAGAGAATGCTCAGGGTTGTCCATCATTTTCTTGATTCTCTGGAGAATCCTTCTTTGCATGATCTCCTCCAGTGGTTCCACAGTCGTCCCCAGTTTTTAGCTGCGGTGGTACTCTGCAGAGCAGTTCCTGTCCTGCTGCAGACAAAACCCCTTCTTGCACTCTTTGCACATCCAGGGAGTGTACCTGTTTCATCCCTGAGGAAAAGCTGATAGCCAGGAGTTCTTCTGGGGATAAATTTGGGTGGTGTGGGTCGACAATACCTGGGTTTGACTTTGTTGTCTAGGAGTCCAGAAGATGTGGAGCATCTGCAGCAAGATCCTGTCTCTGACATTGCCTATTGCTGGTAATGGTGGTTGGCTCTTGATCAACAGAATTTCAAAAATAAAAAATATATCTAATTATATAACATGTATTCAAGCAGTAAATATTAGAAAATGAAAAGTGTAAAAAAAAAGTACAGAACTAAAGCTATAAATATATTTGAACTGTAGATAAACTTACTGCAGCTGTGATGGTAAATCATCTTCCTCACCTGGATCCTCAACCACAGATGTACATGGGGGTTTGTTTTCCTGGAAGTAGCAGTAGTAGTATATACGAGTATAGTAACAGTATTAGCAGAAATACTGGACAACAAAAACTGGAACGTGTTTAGTGCAGAGATACTTACTGCATTTGTGATGGAAAAACAATGTGGGCACATCTTGCTCCTCATCAACAAATCTTGAGGGAAATTTCCTCTTTCTAGAAGATTTCCTGATTTCTTTCATTATTTACAAAAACAAATCTAACATATAAAACAATAAAAAGCCTCCGTGAAAAGCGTAGCTGAAAAAAACGAACTACGGATGACAAAACGAGTACAAAAACGTGGAAGTAATGTCAAATATGACTAAATATATCCTAAAATTACTATATACAAACCTAAAGTAAGATATTTACCGAAATTTGTTGTGTTTTTAATGTTCTTATTAGGAGAGGGACAATGTTTAAGTGGTTAGCAGCAGCAGTGTCTGCTGCATCTTTTAAATCAACTGTTCCATCTTTACTGTCTTCAGCATCTCTGAGGAATGTAGCAGAGGGCAATATTTTCATTTGTAGCCCTTCACAAATTGATGATCTAGTTCATAATGTTACTTCTTTACGTGTGGCATTAGATGATGTTGCTCCTTTAAAAAGAAGGTAATTAAGCACAGGAAGTTGGCTCCCTGCAACAGCGTTGTCAGATAGAGACCGACTATAGTGAAATTTACTTTCATGTCTCGAGAACTGAGTTATAAAAAACTCAAAGGTTATCAAAAAGTGGTCCGAGAGGACTGGATTATGTGGAAATATCGTTATTTCCTCACACTCTATGCCATAAGCCACAAGGTCTAATGTATGATGGCAGGAGTGGGGGGAGCTATGTATTCTTTGAGTAAAACCAATTGAGTCTAAGACAGGGATAGCCAAAGTGTGGTGCGCGCACCCCCGGGGGTGCACGAGCTGCCGCTAGGGGGTGCGCGAGGTGAAAAGTGTAATGGCTGCGGAGCTCAGAGGAGTCTGTCATATGTCACCATTAGCGTAGCCAGAAACTCATTTGTGGGCGGGCCTAAGAAAAAGTAAGTGGGCCCAATAAATGTAACTGAAAACAAGTATATTTTTGCGCGCGCACGTGTCCTCCACATGTGCCCTAGCTTCATAATAACAATGCGCCGAGCTTCAGCACTCTGGCCTGCGCACGCCGATATGTTCCGTATTTGATCATTTTTAACGGTGTTGGAGGAATCTGAAGGTGGTGAGTCACTCTGGCAGATTGTAATTAACACCTGTCTCATGCAGGTGTTATGACGTTGTAAACCTCACACACAGAACATTGTGGATGTAACTAAATAACAAGAAATGATTCCCATTCAGGCTATTAACAGCGCGCTGAAGATCTGAAGTTCAAAGTGCGTCTGTCAGAGGTCAGACGTGTTCCGGCTGAACCACGGCTCACGGGTGCACATGTGAGCACATCTGGGCTGGTCAGAAGTAATTTTACAACGTTGGTTTAAATAGCGCCGATAACGAGACGCTGTGACTGGAGCGGCTCATGGAGCTGTGCCGCGCGCGCGCACACACTCACACACACACACACACACACACACACACACACACACACACACGCACACACACACACACACACACATTCAATAAGCACGCACGCTGCATAAACTCCGGCACGGTGCTGTCAGACTGAAGGCAGAAGTGAGCGCTGCCTCCTCTGTGATAAAAACTTTTCAGAGGTTTTATAACATTTTTTATTCCAGGTCAAATTAAGATATTAGCTTCTATTTTGGGATGACGTATTAAAGTCGGGTCCGCTCCAGCCAGTGACTCCGAACCTGACTACAACTCATGGTACTGCAGCATTTGTTGTTCCAGTCCGCGTGGCAGCGGATCGCAGATTCAGCCACACCATAAAACAGCAATAAGTCGGTCTGAGGCAAAAGTGAACATCATGGCTTTTCCATCTTTTCCCCTATAGACATTTGATTACGCACAAGTAGGTGACCAGCTCAGGTTTACACAGAGCAGAAGGAAGGAGAGCGCTCTGTCCGCTCAGGTTAAACGTTCCTACTTTAAAAAAACAGTTAAATTGCATTTTTTATGTGCTACCTGGGCACTCTAAATATTTATTTAAAATTAAATCAAAGGAAATTGTAATGGTATCGAATGTTTATTAATTACCATTTAAAAAATGAAAGTGATGGGGAAAAAGGTTGATCATATTTTTTTAACCCTGTTCAGCGTGACGTCTGATAAAGCCATGCCCTGATGTGGGGCTGGGGGGGTGCGTTAACATGGTCGGGACATAGAAGGGGGTACGCGGCTAAATAAGTTTGGGAACCACTGATATTACTAAAGGCTACATTGAAGCTATCATTTTCAATGTCCACATGAATGTTAAAATCCCCCACTACAATGACCTTATCAGTATTTAGCACCAAATCAGATTAAAAGAAATCAGAGGTCTGATCTACAGAGCAAGGACCTGATGGACGATAAAAAACTACAAACAAGAGTGGTTTTGCAGTTTTGCAATCTGGATTAGGAAAAATAAGAATAAGATGTTCAAAAGAACTGTAACTATTAATCGGTAAGGGATTGATTATTAGGTCTGAATGAAAAATGGTTGCTACTCCTCCTCCTCGCCCTGTACTTGGAGCAATATGGTGATTTAAATAATTTGAAGGAGTCGACTCGTTTAAGCTAACATAGTCCTCTTGCTGCAGCCAGGATTCTGTGAGAGAGAGCAAAGAGATCTGATTATCACAAATCAAGTCATCAACTAACAAACTCTTAGAAAAAATAGACCTAATGTTCAATAACCCACATTTAATTTCTCTAGTTTTCTGCTCAGTTGAATTTGTTCTAATATTTATGAGATTTCCATGATTTGCTTTATTAAGCCTGATATTTAATCTGTGTGGTTTTGGCCGTGGGCAGGACACTGTCTCTATGGGGTAGTGGGTGGGTAACAGTACAGAAGCTGCAGAGGGGTGGGTTAAACTACGACTCTGCTTCCTGGTCTGGACCCTGGGTAGTCATGGAGGACTAATAAAACTGGCCATGTTCCTAGAAAGAAAAGCTGCTCCATCCAAAGAGGGATGGATGCCGTCTCTCCGCATCAGACCAGGTTTTCCCCAACAAGTTTTCCAGTTATCAATGTAGCCCACGTTGTTTTCAGGACACCACCTAGACAACCAGCGGTTGAAGGACAGCATGCGGCTAAACATGTCATCACTGGTCCGATCAGGCAGGGGGCCAGAGAAAATTACGGAGTCCGACATTGTTCTGGCAAACTTAGCCACCGAAGCAACATTAATTTTAGTGTCTTCCGATTGGCGTCACCGGGTGTCGTTACCGCCAGCGTGAATAACAATCTTACTGTATTTACGCTTATCCTTAGCCAGCAGTTTCAGATAAGATTTAATGTCGCCCGCTCTGGCCCCAGGTAAACATTTAACTATGGTTGCTGGAGTCTCTAATGCCACGTTTCTGACTATGGAGCTGCCAATGATCAGAGACGGCTTGTCAATGGGTGCGTCACTGATCGGGGAAAATCTGTTAGAAACGTGGATGGGTTGGTGGTGTCCCACGGGCTGGGTTCCATGCTTTCTACGTAACGTCACCCAGCCAGCCTGAGGTCCCAGCTGCTCGGGTTCTACTGGAGGACTGCTATGAGGTGGTTCTGATCTAGTTAGCCCTGTGCTAGCTAAGTAGCTATGGCTACCTACTGGCTTTTCAACAGCGCAGATCGGGGCCTCCAATTTCGACACCCTCGCCTCCAAAGCTACAAAAATGCTACATTTATTACACGAACCATTATCACTAAAGGAGGCAGAGGAGTAACTAAACATCTGAAAC